AGTTTTCTAAGTTGAATGCAAGACAGTCTAATACTTTAGTACTAGCTTTATTCGCTAAAATTTAACCTAGATTACATTATGACATCCTTGAAGCAAAATTATAGGAAATATTGAAGAAATGCTTTACATCAAATCAACAATTAATTTTTTTAAAAAAATTTATAGTATTACTTGAGAACAATTAATGTTTAATTTTGGGGGATTTTTGACATGTTATTTAATAGGTTAACTTTTCTTTTTTATTTTATACTTAATTTTTATGATATTGGATTTTAAAGAAAGACATTTTTCATATTTTTGTTGCAGGTACAATAGGTAAAGCAATTGAAGTGCTCTGGAGTAAAAACGGAATAAAATAGAGGCTAATGTAGCATTGGAGCTTAGTTGTGAACGAGCACCTAGGTTCCACTCTATAACACCATGGCGCCACATATAGGTGTTGAACTTTCCATTTATCCAAAAAATGTAACGCCTTGGCACCACATACTGCTGGTGCCTAGGCACCAGTTATTTCACCCAGCTGCTCAAGTAGATGGTGCTCAAGAGCCGTAGTTGGGCGCCTAGGCGCCAGAACTCTCCAGAGAAATTTCTCAACAGTTTTGCACACAAAATTGTAGTTTTTTGGAAGGAAAAGCAGATCAAAGACAGGGGGAAGATAATTTGGAGAGTCGGAAGTTAAGAGAAGATTGCAGAAAAGGGAAGGAACTGTGAGATTTTCATTTCTTTTCTGTAATTTCATTTGAGAGATCTGAGTGAATTGTAAGAATTGCTATAGAAGTGCAAGGAAAACTTGAAAATCACATTTGGTGGAGTTATCTCTTCTATTCTCAGGGAAGAAGATAAGTCTTTTGCTTTTATTGTCTTATATTAAGTAATTTCATATTGTATAACTTTTATTTGATATAAGATGATGTGTTCTGGTGTTTTCTTCATGCATTAAAAGTAATTTCTTCTTTTTCTTCCTCTTGTGATGAAATAGTAACTTGTGTAGGATGTAGATTTAATTAGAATGAATTTTTATTTTTGGTTGAGATGGTTTTTACTTTAAGCTTCATTTACATTTCAAATTTGTCAGTGGATGTATTAAAATCTGTTGTGAACCCATAAGATCCGAGAGTGCTATGGTTTCAACAACTAGTAAAAACCTCATTGATCTATAAGGTGAAGATAAAGTAACCTGTAGAGCCGTGCAAATAAAAAGGTGATGAATTTAATAAGGGTAACTAGGAGGCTTCTAGGGTGACAGACATAAACACTTCATTAGTTATCCTGGTTTCTTTATGCTCTTGGAAAAGGGTAAGGAAAATTAATGCTCCTATTTGTTACAAATTAAATTCGATATTCAAGTTGTTCTGCACCTACTCTAAGTACTAATTTCATTGCAAGGGGAGGGTCTTTTTAATAGCTTGAACTCTCTTACTTTAGTTAACTTTAGTACAATTAGCTTTTTAATAAATTTAGAGAATTAGTGATAGTTTGGCATAATTCCTTAGCTCACACTATAATCGAACTTATTTCCTAGCTTAGACTAATTAAATTTTGTTGGAACTTTTCTTAAGTTTTTAAAATTTAATGCCTTCCCTATGGGTTCGATACTCTGGACTAAAGAAAGTCATATATTATTTGAACGATACTTGCAGTTGCGTTATTACCTACTGTTTTATGCTTAACAGTGGTAAATCTAATAAAATTTATAAAATATATTTTAAAATTATAATTTTAAATCCCTAAAACACTAAGTATACTGAAGATTTGTCAGTTATCAATCAAAATTTAAAGGCCAATCAAATTTTTAATTGACTTCCCTACAAAGGGTGACTATCCTTGTTAGTCGAAGGCCCCCTTATGTGGATTTGGTTAAGTATCAAGGGAAGGAAAATTCCTGCATTTTAGTGTAAATAGTAAGTTATTTTTATGATTTCTTTTAAATTTTATTAATTAATTTTCTACGGACATTAATTATTTTTAATTTATGTTTGAACTTAATTTTAAGAGTTATTTGAAAAAAAAAGACATAAGTATTAATAAAAATTTAATTGTAATCTGAGCCCCTTTCACTCCATGGTCTTTTGTAAATCTTTGATTACATGAAATATGAGAACAATAAATTTTCTTTTGTACGAAGTGGAAAAAAAGATTTAACTTAGTGTTTCTTTTCATTTCTACTTCATTAATTAAAGCATTAAGTTTAAGATTTTTGAGATGTTTGTATTTGATAACCGCCTTTTAGTCATTTCAAAATTATAATTGATTAAACTCATTGGATTGTTCCTACAAGCCGTTCCATGTATGCAAAAACTGATTCGCTCCTACTTTTCCCACAACACTTTTTTAGGTTGTTTTATGGGTTGGTTAGAATGACTTCTTTCATTTTTAATGTTGCTAATAAACTCTTTGACCAGACTCCCAAGATAGTAATTATTCTACATTTTGTGACCATTATATATATGAAATATATAAAATTTTGATTGATTGTGTTATTATAGAGGTATACATTGGTTGTGGCTAAAGAAGATAATCCTTACTACATATTGCTTTTACTAACAAGGCAAGCAACATAAAAAGAGGATTATAAATTAGGTATAATTTCTCTATTTTTTGAGTGATAATAGACATTAATAACATGACTTTTTAGCCTACTCTCTATTTTTTGAGTGATAATAGACATTAATAAAAAGATGGTTCTTTCTTGGTACTTAGGGTAGAAGCCTCATATTTGTCTTTATAGTTGATGCCAACATTACCTATAATAATAACATTAATAACATGACTTTTTAGCCTACTTGTTATGATAATGGAGCATCCTAGTTTAACTATCCTACTAATATTGTCAATAAACCTATATGAAATCTGTGTTATGAGGTTTGTTGGAAGAATTTAAAACTATAGTTTGCATTCTCATACATTAATACGACCATTATCAAATTTAAATTTCTTAATACATTTGATTTATATATGATGAGAGCTTGTTTGCACTTGTTTTTCTCAGATTTTTTTGTTTTGTTTTGTTTTTTTTTTTTTAAATATATTTGCTTAGTGCATTTTTTTTTATATTTCTATTTTTTATTTTCAAAAATAAGTTAGCTTATTATTAAAAATATTTAAAACATTTAAAAGTTAATCTGAGAAATTTTTAAAAAATAACTAAACATATTTTAATAAATCAAATATATTTAATTTGAAATAAAAAATAAATAAAATCAAAAGTCTAAAATGGCCTCCAATAGTATTCAAACAAACCATCTTGGAGGCTTCGGTTGAGTGCTTCTTGAGTGATGTCATACTGGATATTTTGAATATCTAACATCACACAAGAATTGAGTGATTAAGAGTTTATAAGATTCATTAATTTATTACCACATATTCAATAGAATTTGTGAATTCTCAAGAAATTTTTGTGAGCTGAAAAATTGTTCAATGAATATCTACTTGGAAATTGCAAAAGTGATAATGCACGCAAAAGGAAGAAGAAAATCATCACAAGGTTGTCTCATTGTATGTGGTCAAGAGATGTTAACGCCTTATTCTATAATTGATAGTGAGGAAGAAAATTATTAATTCAAAGTGGGTAATGTGATCTATTAAGCTAAATTTAGTCAATGTTAGTCCAAGTTAAGACATCATAAATTTTAGGAGTTGTCAAGCCTCTACGACTTCCACTAAAACTGGCTAAGTTTGATTCTTTATACAACATGCGGGTAGTCGATTTATTATGGTGCTTTCATAATATAGACACGATTCATCACGAAAAGTTGAAATGGCTAATCTAGGGTCGTGGGAACGATGATGTATCAGCCGATTGATGTTCTCAACGGGAATGATAAATAGGATTGGCAAATGAAAATCATTCAAGGAATCCATTGATCATTCTGAAAAGTCTATCATAAGAATATTGAAGTATTTAAACATGGTTACAATCCATAGCTTGACTTCCTATCTAAGGCATCTTTACACTTATTGGGATTGTTAGAATGTTGCATCTGATATTGTTTATGGAAAGACAGCAAGTCTGTGTTGTTGTTAAATATTATGGCTAAGGATCAAGTTTAGAGAGAGAAAGAAACGGATTGGGTGCATATTTGGGGTTTTAGAGAACTCAATTGACCCAGAGAAAGGGTGAATCCCGAGTAGGAACATCAAGTGAGACTTTAGGATTAACAAAGTTTGCATAAGGAAATTACATGTACTAGCTTGATATAGATATCAGTCTAATTGAGAAACCTATCCATCAAGCAAAAACTTTGCTCCTTATGCATTACAGATGAGTATTGAATTAAGGGTGTGTTCAATAGATTAGTCATGAGAACAGAAAAGGTTCTCTTTGGCAACTTAGTGAGTATCAATTTGCACTGCGACTGAAAAATCCATCAACTGCAATATTTGGCTGTGGCATTATTTTGAAGAATGAATCATCTTTTAGATTTGAGCAAACAACTTCCCTTCTCTCTTAACACATACTAAGACTAGAAGGCGGCCTTCCCAGCATTATGAATCCTATTAATAGGAGGCAGACTAAATGACATCAAAATGTCACTTAGTTATAGAAATTTTTCACATATATTAGATGTCAAACAAACTGGCCAGCATCTAGTATTGTGACATCTGAATGTCACTAATATCTCAACAACAATAAATCAAACAACACATGATTAAAAATAAAATAAAATAACACTAATCAGTGTTCATAATTATCAGACAAATTTTCTTCTTAATAATGGACTCTGGAGTTACGAGTTCCTGAGGAACAAAAGAATTACTTTTCCTGAAATTCCCACAAAACTCTTGACCTACTAATTTTATTTGCTAATTCTCTTTTACCATTAACCGGATCCTGGATACTTTTGGGGGATACATAAATCTTCTCAACGCAACAAAGCAGAGACTCCACATATTTATGCAGAGATGCAATTATAATTAAATAAAATGGACAAAATCAAGAAATGGAACAGAATAATCACATTCGTGCAGAAAAATAAAAGACTGAACCTTGATTCTTCTTCAAAAGAGAAAACAAAAAATACTGGTGATAAATTATTGTTAATGATTTTTACAGAAATTTGCTCTACAGGCTACAGCATGCTACACATTTAAACTAAACATGAACCTCCACTTACCTTCCTAATGCCCGAAATCCAAATAACAGCGAGAGCTCTATACAACTAAGCAATACTAAGAGATGGTCACATGCAGTCATTTTCTTCTAGTGCTGCTGCCCTCTTAAATGTCTTGTTGGAACAGTCTTTCTTTGGTGTAGTCTTGCCAGTTCTCTTCAGATTTTTCTTCTGGGCTATTTTGAAACTCTGTAAAGTTTGTTCTCCCCTCTTCTGCTTAGCTGATATGATCTCACCTATAGCTTTCTCAAATGCTTCCTTGGCTATGCTGTAGAATTCAGCAGATGTTGCTCCTTCTTTAGCACATCTGATAGCATCATGACACAGATCACTATACCTCGCAGCTGAAGGTTCTTCACAATTGACTCGAATATCCAAACCAAATTCGTCATGTAGAGAAGAACGCTTGGCATGTTTCGTCCATCTCTTCAAGATGTACTCTCTCGGAAGCGTACGAATACCTAGTATTAAAAAGACTTTCAATGCATGCCGACACAAAATTCCAGATGCTTCAAACATACAGCAACTACAATGAGCTTTATTTTCAGAAACATTAACTACAACATTGTAGGTACCCTCAGCATCCTCAATTTTAGACACCTGATACTTGCTAGGCATCCCATCCTCTACTTTGTCAACATGGAAAGCCAAAGATTCTACAAATTCCTCCTGAAATCTGTCAAACATTGTCCTTGTATAGATATTAGCTGCCTGTTTTTCCATAGGAGAAGCAGTCCTGAGAAATGGTTTGTCAAACATGCTGATATAATCCGCCTGTGCCTCCTTCTCGCAGTTACTCGAAAGCGCCAGCCCAAGCTGCCGGACTGCTAAACGCAATGGGGTCTTCGAGTTGCAGTACTTCTCAATAACCCTATCAAATGTTTGTGATCTCTGCAACGAAGAGATTTGTACACACAACGTATCTCGCATGTATATGGGCACCCACTTATTTCGAATAGCGTACAATGAATGCAGATATGCATTGTCATTTAAATCATACTTGAGAAGTATGGCGTTCCAACAAGCTTCGAACGACTCATTTGTTCGGGATTCATCAATGCATCTTGTTAGTTCCTCCTCGAACAGCGGATGTGCCGAGCATAAAGCAGACAGTTCCATCAGGATTGTGCTTACAACGTGCTTCCTACAGAAAAAGTGCCTGGTGTCAGGAAGGACCTTTGCAACTGCATTGGCAATGGCCCAATTCAGACTGGTAAACAATGAGACAGGAGGACGGGAAAACATGGCCGCAACCCACTGCTCGAGCAGCCACGCAAACGAGGTCTCTGATTCATCCACAAGGAGTGCGCATCCAAAAACTAAGGGTTGCAGGTGATGGTTAACACCAGTGAAGAGAACAAGAGGGATGAAATCTTTATCATTCTTGTAGGTCATATCTAGGGTTACAGCATCTCCGAAGTAATGGTATGCCATCCGAGCTTTAGCATCTGCCCAGAAAATGTTGGTCATACAGTTATTCTGCTCATACTGTACAGCATAGAAAAATGCAGGATTATCCGCCTGAGTTTTCTTGAAATAATCTAGGAGATTATTGGCATCCTCTGACCCCAAGTCGTTATACCGAATTTCCCGAGGATAATTCAATGGGTCTTGACCATTCAAGAGAAGATTGCGGGTATCAGCGAAGTTTTTGGCGATAACGAGTATCTCTCCCTGAGAACGAACACATCGCACCTTGCTCGGTGGAGATGGCGTCAGCTCATGCGAATGCTCCAATTCAAGCTTGGAGACCATCCAAACATCGCCTTCTTTTCGAACTATCTCAAACAATGCATTGCAACCTTCCTTCGATGGATCCTGATTCGAGCCTTTTCTTCCATCATCGCCATTATCGTCTCTTCCGGTGTGATATCGATGCTTAGAACAAACTAGTTTTAACATCTTGAGCGATTCATCATGCAGCGAACGGCGCGATTGCCTTACGCGAGCTTCGAATCCCACACGACTGGCATAAGCGTAATAGAATGTTTTTGCCATCTCTAGAGATTCAAACTCCATTCCAACATATGGCAGCAACTCTGCATCACCTTCTGTGGCAATGTAATGCACCCCATTCCCACTTCATGATTATGCTCCTTGACGAGCTTGGTCACCACCCATTTCTCATCACCTCTTCGAATCACCTCAAGCATTGCTTTGCAACCCTCCCTTATGGATGCCGCCCTCTTCCTCGTTTTTTTCCCAGCAATGATTCGCTTCTCCCTGCTGAAACCTTCTTTGGAGCAGACAAAGCGAAGCATTATGACAGATTCGTTGCATTTTGATCTGCGAGACCGTGCAATTCTAACTGAGAATCCTACTTTCCCAGCATAGGCAATGTAAAAGGTCTTAGCAGCCTCTCCAGAATCAAATTCCATTCCAACGTAGGGTTCAATCCTTGGGTCGACTTCCACAGCGCAGAGCTCCCTGCGAGAATGATGCTGCTCACTGTATGCCATGTGCTGCGGCTCCATTTGCTGTTCATGCTGCTGGATTGAGTGATCTGGCTCAACCACAACATGGGGGCTTACACCAAATGATGCCCAGAAGTTGATGTTGTCCTCCAGTTCTACGTGGCCTTCCATCAGTCCATTGGTTGTGCTCGCGTGACCATCCATCATTCTGGAGAAATCGAAATAGCAGGCACCGAGTCAGTATTACATCATCACGCCACTACTTTAGACTGATTGAAAGAACGAAAACAACATTCGACAGAAGGAAAAAGAACTGGACTGATGGAAGACCAAGACAGTAACGAGTGAAGGAGAAAAGAGTTAATTTTACCTACCAATTGCATTAAAAGAAGAGATTTTTCACGGACCATAAAGGTTGCAATCAATCAAAGTGGATTGTTTATGAAACAAAAAGCTGTCCGGAAATTATAACTTCTATCAATTAGCAAAAAATACATCCAATACACAGTTCATTCGCAAAGATGTTCTTTTTTTTTTCCCCCGATGCATAAAGTAGCACTTGGAGAAAACCCTAACCAGGGAAAAGCGCGAGTTAGGTTTCGGAGGGAATTGAAAGATGGAGAAGAAGAGGAACTGACGACTTACCAAACTGACGATGACTGGCTCAGAGCTCGCGCTGCTACAATTCGGTTACGGTGCTTCTCCTGGCAGCAACCTCTCTCTCTCGCCGAACGAATCCACTCCCTTCTCCTTTGCGTGACGGCAGTCTAAAGCTCACCGCACCGCAGCGCAAACCGTCAGAATGACTCGGCGTGATCTTTTGCGAGATAGCCCTACAGTCATTTACCAACTACATTGAGAATTTGGGATCCTCTTCGAACTTATCTCTTCATTCTTGAAGGCCTAAGGATACAAGGATAAATGGACTTCTAACTCGTCAGAAACCTTTTCTTAGGCACAATATTTGTGAGAGTTGAAATTTTTTTTTTAATATTTTAAGTTAATACAAGAGACAAAAATTTTAACCTGAAATTTCGGAAAAAATAATGCGTATTAAGAGATGAAGAGTGTCTATATTTATTGCTGATGGGTGAAAGGCAGTCTTTTTATTGTTTATGTATTATATTAATGATAATGAGCGACGTTATTAGCCAGTGGGCAACATTGAGTGGCAAGTGATGTCAAGTTAAGCTCCAAAATTTTTTTATGAATAATAGATTTCTCTTTGCATAAAGTTCTCTCATAAATGTGTACAAATACTGACTATTTATAAATTTTAGAAGAAATCATTCTAGACATTTATGAATATTAAACACCCCATGACACGGGAGCTTACCGAAAAAAAAAATATCGTCGTACTGTAGCTGCTACAGTACAGCGAAAATATTTGTTACAAGAGACATGTCAAAATAGTCGTGTTCTCATTTCTGCTTTATTTCTTTTTATCCATAATTCTTTTATAGTCTTTTCCTATATATATGTTTTATTAGGGTTTGGAAGTTAGTTTTTGGTGTGTTCTATTTAAGACAGTTGTCGTAGTCCATTCTTCTCCCTTCGAGAGCAGAATCCAAGGTATTGGGCGGTGCTCTGATTGTGCTTCTCTTATGAGGTGGTGATTATTTTTTCTTATCCTCTCTGCATCTCTCCTTCTTTTTCGCCTTGCATTCCCTTTGGTTGCAGGTCGCCCCGACGACAGTTTTTTTGTTGTTTTTCTGCAGTTTAAAAGTTGTTCTGTCCTTTTCCTCGTTGCCCTTGCCCAGGACTGCCTTCCTCGCATCCTCCCCCAACTGACGAGTCAGTCGTCGGCTAGCTTCCAATCATGTCGTCACTGCAGTCGCCACCATTTTGACACTTCCCCTTGCCGCTATCAACCTGGACAACCCTCAAACATCGTCCTCTGGCTATCTACTTGCTCGCTGACTGGGGAAATCACTGCTTGCTATTTTATGCTTGTCAGCCATCTTTTCCAACCCCACGCCACCTTCCTAACCTTCACCGACCACCACTACCACTTGGGATCCTCCCTCATTAAGTGTATGTGTTTTGTTAGTTGCTATTTTCTATTTCATCGTCTATGATTGTAACCACTATTTGCTTTTTTAGTAATATCATTTTCTTTTGCTATTGTAGTTTGGGTTAAGTCTGTATCATTTAGTATCTGAGCTAGCTTAACCCTAGTCCTATCCTAGGGCTTTCTAGCATCTGTCTTACCCCTCCACCAAAAATTTCTTTTAAATTCCCAAACCATAACAAGAACTTTGACCTAACCTTAATTTCGCTTTGATTATTTTTAAAATCAGTAATACTAAATCATTTTTTACTCCCTCACGCACCTTCCACTCCAAACCTTTTCCATGTCACCAAGCAGAACATGCTCGAGCCTACCTAGAAAGAGATATGACAAGCGATTCATCGACTTCAGCAGAGGTTCATGACATTGAGGATGAAATCCAGTGAGAAATTACCTTCAACCTTGATCTGATGAGTCAAAGGGGAGACCGAGAGAATCTAAAGATGAAGCAAGAGATACAATGCTTGTTTTACTATGACAGAATGTTTAGACCATAGCTTTAGAAGTGAAGAGACCACATCACAGAGTGACCACCCCATCTTACAAGAAGAGTTCAACCTTAAGGTCTTACAGTCAGAGTACACCCAAGGGAACACCTAAGACAACTCCATCAGAGGAAAACTGATTCAGAGAGGAGAATAGGTGGAACCAATCTGCATCCCTAAATCTATCGCAGCTAGGAAGTGTTGTAAGTGTCACAAATTTTGGCATTTTGAATCAAACTACACAACTAGATATGGTATATTTCACTGAGCAGGATGTTCTTGAAAAATTGGGTAATGATACAATAGATATTAAAGATGATGAGAACACAAAAGAGAATGACTAGCTTTTAGTTGAGGCAAAAAAAATGTACATAGTTTTAGTTGAGCCCGTAAAAGTGTTGACATCACTTTTGGTTGATGTTTAGTTATTTTCCTTCTTAGTAGCCTAGGATCTAGCCATATGATTTTCCTATTGATTATTCCTAGAAAACTAGAAAAGGAACCCTCACCATTAGAAACTCTAAACTTTGCCTTGCTCAACTTAAAGTTCCATATACTGGTCCTAACATCTAGCACTTAGTAGGTGGGGCCACTATAGAGGAGCTCAAGGAGAATCCCCATGGGGTTGACACTGGATGTTGGTCTGGAGCTGGTTCACTCACTTGCACTCACTTGCACTCATTATCACCTATATCCACTGACAACCCTAAACCCAAAATTGTTGACTTTGATTCCTTGATCTTTTGGGAGACTCATGTAGATGGTCCCCTAGACCCATTAGCTCTAGGCTAGGGTTTAAATAAGACCAGTACATAGAAGACCCAAATGGAGATTCCATTGGTCCATAGCTCAAACAGGGTGGTTGGCACCTTAATTTCACCAAAACATCCAACTCAGTCTTTTTGTCCCCAAAACTAACTTAAACCCTTCAATTGAATTCAATTTGATCCCAATTCTCCCCAATTTCAATTCAAAACTTAAATTCATATTTTTTATGATTAATCCAAACCAAATCTCAACCAAATTGACCCACATTTGAATCCAATTTCAACTTAAATCTGAAACCCCCAATTTTGCCCCAATTTTGCCATGTTTCCAAAAATCACCTAATTGAATAACCAAACCCCAAAATTGACACTCAATTAATGTTGAGAGCACTTCATGACAATCACCCACATCAAATTGGACCATCAATTGGGCCATAGCTAAACTCTAGCCCAACCTACCCAAGCCTAACCCAACATCCCCAAATTTGACTAGATGTCCAAATTCCTCAAATCAACCCATCAAATCAATTCAAAATCACTCCAAATCTTTTCTAAACCTCTCATGACAATTATCCACACAATCTTGATCAGTCAATTGAGCTCAAACAAAAATTTTGATGAAAATCGAATTTTGACGCATTTTTCACTCGATCGTCGCCGAGGTTGTCTGAATGACCTCGAATGATGAAACAGACTGCGCCGACGCATCCGGAGCGTCAAAATTACCTAGAGAAAACACCCATTTCTATTTGTTTTAGTGTGGGGTCGAATTTTGACAAAACTTAAATAAAATATTAACTTAAAATAAAAAAGAGGTGTGTGGCAGCTGCGCTGCCCCAGAAAACTGTTGTGGGGATAAGCTGGCAACCTATTTGGTGTAGTTGTGTGAAAACAGCTGTGGAGTAATTGTTTCTGGAAAAATGACTCTGTTGCCCCTGTTTGTTAAAATTGTTTATAAATTTATATATTTATATATTAAATTGATTAATATATGTGAATATATAAAACTAACTATAATTATGGTGTAAATTTAAGTATTTAGTATATATATATATATATTATGATTTTGAGTAAGAAATTTAAATATATATTATATGATTTTGAATTTTAATCAATTTATAATACATTTAAAGTATGTCACATTATGCTAATTCTCTCTTTTGAATTCTTCAAAAGTTGATATAACTTAGGGCATTTACATAAATACCACATAATTCTTATCTCAACATAGTATACACCTAAACTTAGATATAGGGCATTGTAATCTAAACAACTTCCAGCTAAATGCAAATAACCAGCTAAAACAACTTCCAGCTAAATGCAAATAATATAGGGCATTGTAATCCGTAAAATAATCTTCCATAACCATTTATAAAAAGTTTTAATCCTTAATACAGTTATTTATTACATCACTAGTGCACATAAAGTAACTTCTACTACCAAACACTCATAAGTTACAATTGCTTTGTCTTTCTAACAAATTACAAATCAATCACATTTAACCAACGCATTAGTAATTTATTCTCGAATGTCCGCCATTTCAGTTGCACCTTCCCCTTCCTTAGTACAAATGGTTGATTGTTCGCTGTCATCTCATAACATAGAACTACCAATTTGGTTTTCAGATGGGTCTTCAACTATTTCCTGTTGATTTGCTTCAGCATTGAGGAAATCAACGTCATATCGAGACGGGTGTCGCCTAATATAATTGTGTATTTTCATCGTCGCTATCACAATCTGAACCTATTTTGAAAATGGGTAAGGAGGCATATCACATAATATCACTCATTTCTTCTTCCATACACCAAATGTCCTCTCGATGACGCCTCACAAAGAGGAATGTCTTTTGTTGAACACCTCCTTTTCTGTTTCGTGTAACAT